CAAAGACGACGTTACGACAAGTGGGTATTACCTGCCGCACCACGGGGTAACGAAAACAACCAGCGAAACCACCAAACTGAGAGTGGTATTCGACGGCTCCGCGGCCACGAGCACCGGATTATCGCTGAACGACACTCTTCACGTCGGACCGAAAATTCAAGACGACCTGCTGTACATTCTTCTTCGTTTCCGAATACATCGGTACGTTATCACCGGGGATATCGAGAAGATGTACAGGCAGTTCCTCGTCCGAGAAGACGACAGACGATATCAACGGGTCCTCTGGCGCGATGCATCGGGCGAAATTAAAATGTTCGAATTGCAGACGGTGACGTTCGGACTATCGGCCGCCCCGTACCTGGCGATTCGCTGTCTAACTCAATTGGCCCTGGACGAAGGCCATCGGTATCCTGAAGCGGCAAAAATCTTACAGCGAGACTTCTACGTAGACGATGCGCTGACCGCAGCATCAACGATCAGAGAAGCTCGCGCCATCCGAGAGGAGCTAACCCAGCTGCTAACATTAGCGGGCGTAAATATACGGCAATGGGCAGCCAATCAGAAGACAATTCTCGAGGGTCTACCGGAGCAAGACGTTAACAAGAAATTACATCTTGGAGAATCATCCACGCTAAAGACTCTGGGAATTGTTTGGAATTCCAAAAACGATTCCATTACGTACGAAGTGCAGATACGACCTGCCCCATCACGCGTAACCAAGCGCATCATTACGTCGGAAATTGCGAGAATTTACGATCCCCTTGGCCTCCTAGGACCCGTCATCAGCGCCGCCAAGATGCTGCTCCAAAAAATCTGGACCATCAAGGTGGACTGGGATGAGTCTCTGCCCATGGACATCCACTCGGAATGGATCCAGTATTACAAGCAACTATCGATGCTAAATAACGTCGTGTTTCCCAGGAACACCATCCCCCATGCGTCGACGATAACGGAGTTGCACGGGTTCTGCGATGCCAGCGAGAAGGCTTACGGAGCGTGCGTGTACGTTCGCTCAACCGACAAACGCGGGCAAACACACGTGCAACTCTTGTTTGCAAAATCAAAGGTCGCACCACTCAAGACGCAGTCGATTCCGAGACTCGAACTTTGTGGGGCTTTGCTACTCACGAACCTAATAGCTACGGCCAAGAAAGCATTGCACGTGGAGATCGACCGTGTAGTTCTCTGGACGGACTCTACCATAGTGCTGCACTGGCTACAAACGTCTCCACACACGCTAAAAACGTTCGTAGCAAACAGGGTTTCGGAAATCCAGGAAAAGACAAACGGCGCGGACTGGCGCCACGTTCCCACATCAGACAACCCCGCGGATCTCATTTCGCGCGGACAGCATC